GTATCTTCTTTTAAAGGATAATTTTGATATTTTCAACAGGCCAATTAATGGCAGGGGACCAACTTTAACACTTTAAAAGTTTGGTACTGCATTATACGTTTAAAAGTTAGGGTACTATACACTACCCCAAACTAAAGTATAATTTTCCTATTTAAAAATAATAACAAGGTGATTTGGTTATAACGCAAACGAGACTGAGAATGCGGTACAGCCGCTTTGACCTCCTTCGCCGGAAATCATACAAGAAATGTTCTTTTTTAATCCATGAAACCAAGTTATCTCTTCGTTTTCTGTGTTGTTTGAAAACAACAGTCGAAGCCCTAGAATTTAGAATCTGCGTAACAACTAATAATATGTATAAATATTCTTTGTGTTGAAGATATGGACCCTTTCCTTTCCCACCAAACCTAATCCACTAGGTAAGGTACGACGACTATACCAACGACGGAGTCACGACAAACGCTAACTACGGAAATTCCTGTCCTGCGCTTGAAAGTTTAACATTCTAAAATGCAGATTAATCCGATAGGTGGGTTTTCAACTTTTTCATGAATTGGCATCTTTCTCCTCACGCAGCGTACTTCACACCCTCTTACAGTTACAAATAGGGTTAGGGTCTCATATGTAGCAATCCGAATGGGAAAATAATCTGATCCGGCCCAACCCGAAAAAATTGGGTTAGGTTGCGTCATGGGTCAACCCACTGACCCGATTGTCAAGTCTAATTGAGATTATTTATACATTTTAAAAGTTTTCGTTTTTTAATTTTTTCTATTTAGTCTTTAATTTTTATTGTTTACTCTTTAAATTGTTAAATGTTCAAGTTTTTATTTTATATTTGGAATTTTAAGGTTAATTCTTTTAATTTTGATATTTTTCATTTAATTTTTCTTTATTTGTTTTAATTTCAATTATTTTTTGGGATGACCCGAATTAACCCATGGGTCAAACCTAACCCGACATTTAGGGTTATGGCCTAGCATTTGACAATCTAATCTGACCCGAAATCAACCCAAAATACCTTGATCCAACCCGAACCCGACCTACCCAACCCGATTGCTAGGTCTACATCTCACTGTGTATTGGGAATATCTCCTATAAATAATAATTCATAAGTACGGAAAATGTCTCTAATACATGTGAGATGTGTTTGAGATCGGTGTGAGGTGCACTGTGTGAGGAGATCCGGACTCCATGGCCAAGTCCATTGTTTATATATCTAACATAGCAGGGCATTTATGACGACGTCTCCTATTGATGATGTGGCAAATAAATTAATAGTCACGATGAACCATTTCTTCTATTTTCACCCTTGGACTCTTATTAAGTAATAACTCGTTAACTTATTCTATTAGTCACCAACCATGATCAAGTCAACCTTAATAACTGATTATGGCTTGGTTGGTGGTAGGGGTGTCAACGGTATTCGAAAATTTAATTTCGAATTCAAAATTTAACATAATCGAATTAAATTCGAATAATTCGACTATCTAATTGGTCGAATTCGGATATGATTTGATTTGATTTGATAAATATCCGAATTCAACTGATTATTTAATTTTTATATATAATATATAATTTTGAATATTTTATATAATATATATAATAATTAAATTATATAAATAATTTATATATTTATATACTTTATATAAATAAAATATTTACTTTATATATTTATTAATTATCTAAAATAGTTACTTAATCGAATTCGAATCGAATCAGATATTCGAATATTTAATCGGATTTAAATTCAGATATTAATTGATCCAATTCAAATTCAATCCGTTTGCACCCCTAGTTAGTGAGATCTCCTATTTATAATAAAGACTCAGCTTAACTTGAAAAGAGTACAAATGTAAATATATACAGCATAAATGCATTAAAATTATAAGGTTTTGCACTCTACATATTATATTTGTACTCCTTCCAAACTCTGCCTCAGGGTCAAATCCTGCTGACATCAAGAATGGTAGGGATTAAGGGTATGAGATGGTCTACCCTGTTGTATAGCCCAAAGAACAAAAGTCGACGTTTTAGGTTAAAAGACGTATACTGTGTAACCTAAAGATTATCTTTTGTACCAGCTTCTCTTGTATCCCACGTACAAGTTGAATCAGACGTCTAAGCCATGGTTCAAAATATCGGAATTCGGAAGTACCCTATTAAAAGTAATTGGCGTATTAACCAACTGTTTTTTTCTTAATCTTTTGGATTTTGGGGTGGGCTTGAATTCCGATTATCACGACTTTCAAATAACAAAAAGTTAGGGTTAATTTGGATGTAACGTCAAATTTACACTGACTCTTATTTATTTAATTTGGATCCTCCTAATCTAACCATCTTGAACTTTTTGGGACTTGATGCCTCTAAAAACAAAGTTTGAAATTTTATTGTAAAATATCTTTGTTTCTTATAGATTCACTATACATTATTTCTCTTCATTTTTTTTCATATTTTAAAGGGGAAAGTCTGGGATTGTGTTTTTCATTGATTAATTTTCCTAATGGGATTGTAGCTTTCATTGATCACTTTTTGTTATGTTTGTTTTTCATTGATTACTTTTCCTAATGAGCGGTTGTGGTTTTCATTGATTACTTTTCCAAACGAGTGATTGTGTTTTTCATTGATTACTTTTCCTATGTTTGTTTTTTATTGATTACTTTTCCTAATGAGCCATGGTGGTTTTTATATTTTTATTGAGACAGTTTTGCCTATTCTAACAATAGCTATTTTACGAATAAAAAAAAAATTATTGTATAATTTAGGCTTAATTTCAAAAAGAGTACAAATACAAATATAAATATATAAAATGCAAAACCTTGTTTACACTATACATATTTGTACCGCTTTCAAATTGATCCTAATTCAAAAGACTGAGTATGGTGTGCGGACGGTTCTGCGAGGACCAAATCCAATCTCCCTCTGCGCTGCTCTCTCTCAACGATAACAAAATGGTAGGGGAGGGTGGAAGTAGAATCACATGTCCACGTGTCGACGCGCAGAAGCACGGGTCTCTTTCCATTCAAAATCGCGTTTTACATGTGGGCTCCTCGCTTTGATAAGCGGGACCCACCGCAGTTGACTGTTCGTTCCATAGCGACTTTGGACAGGAGTTAATTTTTTCTTTTACGTGATTGCCCTTAACTTTCCTCCGTTCAAAAAGCCCAAGAGATGAAATCGGTGAAAGATGTGTGAACTGTTAACGCGTCTCCCTCAGGACACATACCTATATATTATACGGTGCCTTACAAGTTGGACGCATGGGACCTACCATAAGATTGATTCCCAACCATCTTAATCGAATGATTCGGCAATCCGTTAATGTTTGATTATTGGGAATCAAAATCCCTCTTGGCTGGGAGCCTAATTAACTGGGACCATCTTACCTGTATCTCCACCGTTGTCTTTACATAAAGATAAAGCTAGACCTAGGCTTTCATTTTATTGACTTTTTTTGGTGAGACACAAGGGCAATCATGTCTTTTTCTTTACAAACGCGTTGACTGGACAGGGGCAATCATGTCTTTTTAGAAGAAAAGCCATATGGCTAAATGTTTTTCTTTTCATGGCATAGAGCCATAGACCATGGGGTTCCGAACTTCCAGATTACCGGCCACTCCGTTCGTCTCGCAAGTAAATGCTCTGTCAATCAAAAACACAAATGACCGGGCTGTTATGGTAATCTTCTCAAAGCGAGTGTGGTTTGGTTTGGGGGAATCGGGTAGTGGGCCCTGAAACCCAGAGTCTAGACCATACAGATGACGCCACGTATCAACAAAGCCGTTAGTGTCTTCTACAAAAAGTAAGAAAAATAGCAACCACAGTTACTGCTAGTACTTACAACTAAACAACTTACTATACTTTCTAGAGAAGTCATAGCCAGTAGGGTCCCACAGTCCCCACCACAATATTTCGGTATCGTAAAGTCATGTGGGGGTGATACAAAGCTGCCTCAATCTCCCCCTTCACATTTACCAAAAAAGATCTCCCCCTTCACCGACTAAACAAGGATTAACATGCTTAATTAGTAAAATTCAACCTAAATACATTCCTTTTCCCCTTGTAAGAGGATCCCGAAAGTCCGATTTCTGAACGGTCTATTTATCACGCTTTAGTTTATATCTCATTGAAGAAGAATTCTTCTACATCCCCTATTTTTTGGAATATGTTTTTGATTCTCTCTCTTCTTAAAATTCTCATTTCATGAATTGAAATTGCTTTGTAATGCATTTCATTTGGTCAAAAATTTTAGCCTATTATCCAGGAATTAAAATATTAATACGATATCCGGATGAATTCAGATACTATGAAAATCGGCTTTAAAAAAGATACACATGAATACATTAATATAAAAGCCTTTTATAAAGTTTAAAACTTCAAAGATGTATGCCCCAATCGAATACATCAATTCATTTTATTAAATTTTCATACAACTAAATTGGCTAAGAAAAATTTGAATCATCCTAAATACCCTTATTTAATTAAATAATATAAATTACCAATTGTGATAGTATAAATTATCAATTTTAGCCTATTATCGATTAAATAATGAATCATCCAGAATTTCTTTATGCAAGGCATGGGTCATGTTTCACACTTAGTTGCCTAATTTCATTATATAGCTCATTTGCTAAAAAAATTATCTTAAATACCCATATTTTTATTTATTTATTTTTGAGAGAACTAAATGCTCATATTTGATTGGGTCAATTCAATTCAACTGAGATTATTGTAAAAATCAGATAATCGAAATTACTGTTTAAAAAATTTATTTATTTTTAAATAGAGGTAAGTCGGTGAAATTTACCCTTTTATTTTATTGAAACAAAATTTTTCCTGCACAACGTCACAGGATGCGTTCATGATTGGCACAAATCTCTTGGTCCCCTACACGGCTACACCTTAGTGGATTCTGAATTCTTTAGGTACGGATTTACTGAATTAGAATTTAAAAATTTTCCTTACTACCGTACGCGTATTATCGCAAAGGAATCCAAAATTCAAGTATTGAGTATCCTTCCGTCCTTTTACTGGTTTACTCCCTACTCGCGCCCATTGCTCAGAGCAAACCAGGGAGAGAGAGAGAGAGTCCTTCCTATTTCCTTTGCTCGATTTCGATATATAAGCTTGTTGCCGCCATTCCTTCAGACGGTGATTGGCAGGACAACCAGAAACCCAGCGCATCTCTTCTTCTATAAAAATTCAAGAGAAGCACAGAAACGGATAATTCAGACGAAGGAAAGGAGCATATATATTGGCATGAACTTCTCGCTCATATCAGACTTCTTCGGTTTTCTCCCACTTCTGGTCTGGTTCGATATGCTGGCATAGGCACGAGAAGTCTCTTTCGTTGATCTATAATGGTACTCGCAGCCTGCTCTGACAATCTGAGCTTCTTCATGATATTCTCAATTAGGTGATTTTTATTCAATTAGGTGATTTTTATTCAACAGTTTGAATAGGAAATATTTCGAGAATTTATTCATGCTTTTCTCAATTAGATGATTTTTATCTTTCAGTTTCCTGGACTGAACTGTTTTCATGTTTTGGTATGTTTTAATATTGCAGGTTTCAAGTTTAGTTCGGCAAACCCGAGATTAAAAGGTCGAAACCTTTGCCTCTGAGAATGGGAAAACCAGGGAGAGATTGGACGCAGATCTACGCGATCTACGGCATGGAAGAATGGCATACGTTAATTTTCCTTTTAATCCACGCGATCCTCTTCTCCTTTTTCTCAGTGCTATTCCTTATCTACTTCAATCCTCTCTGTTCGGTTTTCCAATCTCTCTTCCCTGCTCTTCCCGCTGGAGCACCTCGCTTCATCGCCGGATTCACCGGCTGCGTCACGGCTCTCTCGGCCGTCTGTCTCTTCTTTGCTGCCGGCAACATCTTCTACTCGTCCGTCTCCCTTCACTGGGACATGGCCCAGCGGATGATCAACGTGGTTAGCGATTGGTCAACGGTCAAAACAGCCCTAGACGTTGGATGTGGCCGAGGCATCCTCCTCAATGCGGTAGCGCTACAGCTAAAGAAGGAAGGGAGTTCCGGGCGTGTCGTGGGCCTCGATCCCCTGAAGACGGCAGTGGCCACACTACGGACGGCGCGGATTGAAGGCGTCCAGGAGTACGTGACATGTAGAGAAGGAGACGCCCGGAGGCTGCCCTTCGCGGATAACTACTTCGACGTGGTGGTGTCGGCCGTGTTTCTGCACACGGTGGGCAAGGAGTTTGGGCATCGGACGGCAGCGGCAGCGGCGGAGAGGATGAAGGGGTTGGGGGAGGTGGTGAGGGTATTGAAGCCCGGCGGGGTTGGAGTTGTATGGGATCTAGTGCACGTACCGGAATACGTACAGAGACTGAAGGAGTTGCGTATGGAAGACATACGCGTGTCGGAGAGGGTAACGGCTTTCATGGTTAGCAGCCATATCGTATCGTTTCGGAAGCCAATTCAACAGATTGTGGGCTCGGCGGAGTATAGGACGGATTGGAGATGCAACATCTGTTAACTGTTTTTTTTTTTTCTTTTTAATTTAGAAAAAAGAAAAAGAAAGAGAGACAGTGAGAAAACTATAGATCTGGGGAGGCGAAGTCGAACCAGATTCGACATAGAAAACATGAGTATATTGAAATGTAGAACAGGTGATGCTATCGTACGGTCAGGAATTAATTAAAGAAGGTAGAAAATCTGATTGTACGGTAGAAGTAGAACAATGGAATATATTATTTACCGGTAAGATATGCAATTAATTAATTGTTAATTAAAATTAAAGTGGAAATATCACATGAAATTTTGGCGTGGTTGGGTGTGTTTGTGGAGTGGACTCACTCCACTCACTCCACACTAGTGACCAGTTCAATTTATTGATTGGTTACTAATTTAGGGTGGGGACTGGGGGTTGAGTAATATGGACTACCAGCACTCCGGCAGTGAATGGTTGTTATCGAATTTATGATGGCGGTGGTAATAAGATTTCCCAAGGGAAGATATTGTTGGAAGAGGTGGTTCATGTGTGGTCCATACTGCTGACGTTTAAATCTGCAATGCAGGTGTCATAATCAATGGAATTTCTGTCTATATGATAGAAAAGGGTTTTGGGATCCATTGTTTGGATTGCAGCACTGAAGTGGAAAGGAGAAACAGTGCTGATTCCAGAATTAAATTCTCCTTCAAATTTTACTCGGTTATTTGTTTTTTTTTTTCTTCACAGAAGCCCAAGGTTTTTAAAACGGACAATTCTCGGGTCGAGTGGTCCAACAGTTCAAATTAAATGAATAGCCCATTCTGACAAAAATTAAAAATAAAAAATAAAATTGATCAAACCGTTGAATGATTCGATGTCAGTGGTTTACTGATCAAATCAATGATTTTGGAGAAATAACAATTCTGAGGTAAATCGGAACCAGTTACCGGTTTTTTAGTTCGATCCGATTTTGAAAACCATGCAGAAACATTTTCCGTCATTTTCACTTCTGCCCCAATTCAAACACAACCTTACCAAATGCTTTGAAAACCCAAGCCCAAATTATCTTAATTGAGAAGGATTTTCAGAGCTACTCAGACTGTGTCTGCAATTTGGACTGCATCGACAGGCTAATCTGAATTCCATATTTCCATGCCCTTTGTCAAAAGACAGGACCATCTCTCTCAATTACTCTCTGAAGCCTAGAGGTCAGATTAAACTTGGAACTATAGAAGGAAGAAATCTAGCTTGGACCATACCTATATTTACCATCTCTTTCCTTGAAATATTAATTTACATTTTATTCTGGATTTGGGCCTAATTGAAGTCACCATCATGGGCATTGAAAAAGATGGTATGGCTGTTGAATTTAGTTTTCACTTTCCACAGAGATGGCACAATATGACTGTAGTTAGAAATTTGATTTGGTGTCATGATCGCAACTCGCGACTAGAGGCTGGTGGTTCCAAAGTGGTCCCTGCATTTAATTCTGTGGTTTGTTGTTAGATTAAGAGTTCAAGACTGTAGACTGTACAGCAAATAGTTTAATTGTTTACATCAGAAACAAGTTGGGAGGAAATAAAGGTGCAAAGTAGCTTTCGTTATAGAACAAGCAGAACAGCAAGCATTATAGGATTTTGTGGCTGGAAGGATATTAAGCATTCTTTTTTCTTTTTTACAACCCAAGAGTAGGAGATTAAGCTCTTTTGATTTCTTCTTCCAGAGGCACTGTTTAGAATCAAAGAATATGTACTTGTTTACCTCCAAAACATCACTTGGGAGGTGGAAGCCACAAAGTTTCAGAAATCAGAATCTATACCCAACAATTTGTTATCATGTAATGTAGCTTGAGGATCAAAATGCAGAAAGCCAGAAATTACAATTTGTTATCATGTAATGTAGCTTGGGCATTCAAGTTAGATTTGTTTTCCTTCTCTTCAATATGCAATTTCAAAATTACAAGCATCAAGCCTGGCTAACACTGGCTTAGTTGAACTCTGGATAAAGTTTAGCCACATCTCTTTCACATACGTTCAAGTGGAAGTTCAACTAATATGTAGGGTCCTTTTAGGCCCCAACCCTAAATCCTAACGAGGAGGAATTTTGGGTGTATTTTTGGATTCCCTCCACTCTTATGGGCTGAATCTTTCCACCCTCTATTTGAACTAGAGCTAACGTAGAGGCACAGCTATTAAGGGGGTTGGGCTTGGGCCTAACAGGGTAGTGTAAGCTCGCACCTGTTCATTTTTTTGTCTTCTTGAGTTTTTAGAGTTTCTACAATTATTAATGAAATGCCTCCATGGTTTTCCATTGAAGTACTTCAATGAGTTGAGTTGATTGTCTAATTGTTTTCATTTTAAGTTCGATTATGATGCGGGAAAGACATGATACCAGATAAATGTATAACTAATTAATCAGCTGGTATTATAACGAATCAGATTCAGATGGATTTTCATCAAATTCACAGAGGGTTTTGATTGGTCAAAGCGTATTTTTGGCTAGGGGTGTCAATTGGACTAGATTTGGTCCAATCTAATCCAGTCCAATGTGAGTCCATTATAAATGGACCAGGTCTAATCCAATCCAATGAATGTTTTGGATCAATCTGGACCGGTCCAATTTAATGTCTAGACCATTCAATCTGTTCAAATTCATTTTGATTTAGATTGGTTTTCAACCCAAACCTGGTCCATTGACACATATATTCTTATCTTATACCAATGGACTAGTTATTGGCTTAATCCAACCCAATCCAATATAAATTTGTTATAGATGGATCAGATCCAATTCAATCTAATAAATATTTTGGATCAAATTGGTCCAATCCAATGTCTTATTGGTCCATCCAGTCTGTCTAAATTATTTTTCTATTGAACGGGGTCCAATCCAAAACTGGTCCATTGACACCCTTATTTCTGGCATCATATTTACAATTTGTAAGATAATGCACGAGGAATTGAAGTACATCAGTCGCAGAGGCCAATGCTAGTTTGTGAGCATGTGGATCGTAATGGTGATAAAATTCTATGCATCTGAAACTGATCACAATTGTTCACATAACTTACCGAATCATGGGGACTGCTGATATGCAATTTGTGCGTAATCTTCAGAGTGTTGGCTATATGGATGTGCTTCCCTTGCTTTCTTGTCGTATAAGTTAAGTTTTATAATATATTAGTAGGGACCTCTACGATTTACGGGCTTTGTTAAATGAAAGTTAAACAATAGAAATACGTAAAAGTATACAATTGTTTTATATTTTAACTTTTTAAATAATTAATAATTTTTATATTTTATATATTATTTTTAATATTTTTGTAATATAAAAATAATAATAATTAATTTCAGCTAGGGTTGTTCATTGAACCGATGAAACCGATCAACCCAACCCAAGTTGGTTGGTTTTCTAGTATTTCCATCGGCTTTCGTTAAGCAATTTCCCAATCCGACCAAGTTGGATCAGTTTTGGTTTGACCATTTGTAAACTGACCAAAATTGATCTGAACTGACCATAGATATATATATTAATATTTTATATTTTAAATATAAATTTTCAATATGGGAAAGTGGGAATTTTTTTATATTTCTTAGTCTAAAATATTTTACATTGTAAATTTAATTTTTTTTAATTTATTTTTATAACAATATTGTTGTAACTTTTGAAAATTTAAATTTAACTTTTTAAGTTTAAATCTTTTGAACCGACCGATCAAATGAAAAACCGACCTAAACTAATACAATCCAAGTTGATCAATTTTCACAATGGTTAATCGGTTTCGGGTGACCAACTCTCCAACCCAACTAGGTTAGTTTGGTAGGCAAAACAATTTGCACCGAATTGAACCAACCTGTGAACACCTCCTAATTTCAGTTAAATTAATAGTCTAATCTTCAATAAATAATAGTTTAATCTCCAATGATTATTTATAATTTATAGTGAAAATACACAATTATTGAAAATAAATTTATAATAAAAATACAATAAATAAAATATTTACAAAATAAATACAATAAAATATTAAAAAATTTCAATATATAAATTTAATCTATTTGAAAGTTATTACATAATATTAAATATTTGGATATTTAATTATTTAGTTGTTGTTAATATTTTTATTTAAAATATTTAAATCTTGAAATATTTAGATAATATTTTTAATTTTTTAATTTTATTATTTAAATAATTCAAAGAAATTTTGTTATTTTTTGGAAATGGTGTATCTGGATTTTTGTGGAAGAGATTTCTAAGGTACGTATTTTTTAAGCTGGAAGAAGAAAAGAAGGTTTTCTTGAGACTGAGCTTTATTGGAAAAATATCAAATGTAATCAAGGTTCTCAGGTTGCAGCTAATGGTAACAATAGATCATGTGATGGTACTACCAGGGGCGGGAGCTAGGAATTTTTTATGAGGGGGGCCAAAACCTAAATAGATTTAGGGAGGGGGGGGATAAATATGAATGGGCCCATAGGAGGGGCAACCAATGGGGTGGAGAGTGGGAGGGGAAATTTACATGGAAAACTATATTACAATGGAGATTTTGTGGACCATAGGGGGGACCATGGTTCCTCTGGCTCTTACCCTAGGCATTACCTCTTTTGTTCTCCCTATAACCTATGTGTGGTTATTTGTCTATCTAGTTGTCCACTCCTTTCTATTATCTAAATTTGTATGGATTGTTTGGTACAATGTTTTAAAAACCAACTCGGAATTGGAATTGTTTTGGCCAATGGTTTGACCATCCGGTTCAAATGAATGGCCCAGTATAAATTAAAATGAAAGATAAAAAACCATTGTTCGGGTTGAATGGATTGACAATTCGATAGCTCAGGTCAACAGTTTTGGGCCAAAGAATAGATTAGGGGTGAAATGGAACTGATTGCTTGGATAATTCCCAAGCCAAATGGTCCAACCGTCCGGGTCAACAAACGATTTGAAAACACAGATTTGATAAGAATAATTGCTTCATATGGTAGTTTGATTTCTTTGTCAATTATTTACTTGATGTGATTTCTTTTTTTTTTTTACTAAGCAGTTCCGATATCTAATCATCATTATCATTAGTGATTTTGCCCCAAGCACCCTGCTCATTAGATCTAATTTCAAGAAAATTTTCACATATCTTGACCAAACCCGAAGTTATAAATTAAAGGGAGAATGATGGATCAGCCCAGGGTCAGAATTTTTAAGCCCAA